TTAAAGTGCAAGCCAGAACAAAGGCCAGCCAGGCAGAGATATGTCCAGCCACCTGTGGGGGAAGAACCAGCCTTACTGCATTCTTTTCCTGCCCACTAGAGATACAGTTGCTAGGAAACCAGCCCCTCTCTCCTAGGACAGCAAAACAAGGAAAGCCAGACCATTAATGGTGAGGGGCCCTTCCAATAGCCAATCAATTCCAAATGCAACAATCCCCTTTTGTGTTTTGACCAATAGATGCTTGCCAGGCAAGAATCCCCCTGCTTTGGACATGATTGGAGGGACCGAACTCTTTAAATCACCCACCTAACCTGAGCACAAGGCTCTTGGCTCTCAATCATTTTGGCAGTGAGGGTGTGTGAGCCCAAGCTAGCTTGTAATATAAGGATCCTCATGTGTTTTGCAACGGACTCCACTCCTGGTGGTCTTTTGGGGTCTTGTGAATTGGGCACAACAACAGAGGAAGGAACAAGAGCAGTTCCCCAAAAAAACCTGGACATAGGGAATTCAGGCCAACTTCCTGTATGCCAGAAGGAATTTAAATCAAGTGCTTTTGGGGTAAAATGTCTTGAACACCTGAAACTTGGATAAATTTCACAGCAGGCACTCCTGAGGTGTCTGGCAATTGGTTTTAGCCCTGGTGGTGGCCATTTCCCCAGCCTGTTTCAAAGACCAGAAGATGATTTTGAGGTGTCCCTCAGAACAAGTCAAACAGTGGGAGGGGTGAGGTAACCCAGGATCAGATGTCTCTGGATCCCAAGGCTCCCTGGAAGAAGACCAGGCTTGCCCTAACTCCTGAGGCTTAGCAGGAGATCCCGGGATCCTGGACCTGGGCGAAGTACCAGGTACATTTTTAGGATGCTGAAAAAGGATTACTCACCAAGTCTATAGTCAATTGCATCATTCAGAGAGAAAGACAGGGAAAAGAAGTGGTCCCTAGTCCCCATGTGGCCAAGAATGGCTTGGTCTACCAGGATGGGTCCTCAACTCCTCCCGGGTTCTTGGCACCAAGATAATAGAGTGTTTTTGTTTGTTTATTCGTTTGTTTGTTTGTTTGTTTGTTTGTTTTTTCTGCCTATGAAATAGGCAAATTCAAGCTGAAATAAAAATAAAAAGATCTGGGCGTGGTGGCCTATGCCTTTAACCCCAGCACTCAGGAAGCAGAGGCAGTGGATCTCTCTAAGTTCAAGGCCAGCTTGGTCTACAAAGTAATACCAGGACAACCAGAGCTTGGTTACAGAGAAACTCTGTCTCAGAAAACAAAACAAACAAACAAACAAACAAACAAACAAAAAACCCAACCAACCAACCAAACAACAACAACTAAGACAGGCAGGTTTAATTGTGAATGGCTCCCCAGGCTGGAAAGTTCACCGATAGAGGGTGGAGTATGTCAGCCATAACAGGTAGGGACTGAGGGATACTGGGAGAACCTAAAGGCCAGATCTACTTTGATATGTTAAATGGGCACCTCAGCCAATTGTCCTGGGTCTAAAACCCAACAATGGCAAGGAGGGACAAGGGGGCAGAACAAAGAGAGAAAGGGAGAAAGGGAGGGAAAGTGACAGAGAGAGGATACTCATACACATACAAATACACACTACCAGATAGAGAAAGAGAGAGAGAATTAAGAAATAGTAGGGGGGGAGGCAAGCCAGTGAGCTGGAGGGACTTTAGGGTAGGGGAGAAGTTGAGAAGGGCTAGGGTGGACTTTGAAATGTGTAACTGGTGCTTGTGTTACTGAGGGAGCCAGGAAGCTAGTTTGTGCTTTGCTGTGATACTAGGCATCACAGATAGCCATTTGTCTCCTCTACCTATTAGAACTTGGGGAAATGGAGTTTCCTTTGGGACTGACAGTTACAGGTGCTAGAGGATCTGCATGCTTCCTCCTTGTTTATAAGAATGACCACACAGGATGGAGGAGGCAGGAAGGGAACAAAGAGAGGTTCCAGGATCCACAGTTATCCCATGATCCAGCCATCTTGGACACCATCTGCTTCTCCAAGCCTTCCTTGGGACATGAACTGAGCATGCAATATCTGTTTGCATGGTGTTCTTGCAACATCCCTAGACCTGGGATGAATCCTGGCCTCTGACTGAAGCAGCTTTCCTTTTCCTCACGGCCAGTATCCAGAGCTGACACATTTGTTGTCTCTTTGCTTCACTCAGGTCTTTACCTAGTCCCCTGGTTGTAAGAAAAAAAAAGAATGACAGGAAGTGGCTGAAGAGTAGAGACAGCTCTACTTTAGAATGGACCTGAGAGGGGCTCTCATTAGAGACAGAGAGAGTAAACTTCTGTTATAGGTCTGGGTTCATGCTGGGAAGGGCACTGAGTCCCAGTTCAGCTAGAAGGGGTTAATGGTTGGACTAGAGGAGAAATGGTGCTACTGGTGATGACCTCAGGAAATGAACTTTCAGGAGTTGAAACAGCTTGCCACAAAGAAGAGGGGGCTATTGGGTCTAAATGAAGGTGCACCAGCTGGAATGTCATCACAGGAAGGGGGGGTGTAGTTATTTGAGCCAGAATGTAGCTCACAGGAAGGGGAGGAGGCTGGACTGCGGTTGGACTGAGGCACTCCCTAGCATCACAAAAGAACAAACCAAAACAAATAAGCAACAGCAACAAACCCACTAGCTTTGTCTGTGGTCCTCAGCAGCTACTAAAGGGATCTGGGTAGAAGACATCAGCCACAGAGACACTTTCCGGGAAGATTCCACAAAGACCATGTGAGGATGAGTCACAAGGTGGGCCAGCCAGCCTCTCCCAGCACCCAGGTCCCAGGGGCTGTACACAAAGCTGAATGGCTGCTAGATCCTGCCTGGGAATCCCAGCTCTGACACGCGGCCAAGCTTCTGAAAGGAAAGATGTATGTATAGCACAGCAAATACACTCTTACGTTTTAGTACTTTCCTTGCTGCATTTGCTTAATTACTCCTTCCAATGATTAATGGGGTAGCTACCATTTTAATTCCCATTTTTCGGACAAGGCTCCCCAGTGCTCAAAACACTCAAAGAATCTGGCCAAATCCACCATTTGCAAAGCAGCACAAACTTCGGGAAGTCAGACCCAAAAATTCCATCTCTCTTAAGGAGAAGTGTGGTCACTGTGGTCACTGTGGTCACATAGTGGTCACTGTGACCACTATGAGCTATGAACGCTGTGCTTTGCACCATGGGAGGCAGGACCACGTGCTGGTGGGGGTTTCTCAGAAATATCCTATCACATCACTGTGCCTATTAAGCATTCCCTACAGGCAAAGCTTGAATCTGAGCTGCCACCCTAGGGGAAAACCTCAGAGGCTGGGCCTAAAGCCATTTAAAATCCCGATTTTGCTATCCACCCCCGCCTCTGACTGAGTTCTGAGGAACAAAATTGACACACATGGGAACAGTGGGCCACTTTGAATTCCAGCCTGTGCCCTCTTTGTGGTGGACAGGAATTAGGCATGATGCCGGGAGGGAACAAAAGTTCCTACGTACCCTGAGGAGGGCACTCTGGGTGGTGGAGTGAGTCAGTCCATGGGACCAGGCTCCTGAAAGCAAAGAGGAGAGCCTTGCTGGGTTATTCCCCACTTGGTTTTATAATGCCAGAAATTCCAGTCGATGTTGGTTAAGAAACCAATTAATAGTGTTGAATCGCTGGGACCTACCAATTTGCTTCTATTCTGATTTCTTTCATTTCCGCCCTCCATCACGTCATCCTGCTTTGAAAAGAGACCATCAGCTGATGCATGGTAGCCGTGCTCAGGCTGGATTCCCAGCCCCACCTTAGGCCACCCTAGCAGGCTATGACTTCAGTGAAGAGGGAATTGGCTGTGCCTTCCCTCCCCACCACTCTTTCCTCTTCCACCCCCTGGCTTCCACTTTGTTAATTAAGGAAGCTGTTTGGTCCCCATGAAGGGGGCTATTGTACCCTGCCTCTCAAAAGCAACAGGCAGCTGCCACTCTCTGAAGCTGTTGGCATGATGACTAAGCCACAAGGACACTTCAAAATAAGCAATTTAGCTTTAAATGACCATTGCATTATCAACTGGATGTCACATTCCCGTAATTGCACAGACGGCTAATTGGATGATTGTTCTCAATTTTTCATTTCTGTTCTTTTCCCCACCTAATGTTTCCACACGCAAACACACACACTTGTACTCTTGCACTTCCACACTCGTTGCACAGGCACCCACACACAGTCACTCACAAGACGGACATCAGTGACCGGCTGCAGAAGAGCTCGGCCTCAGTGCTGGACCACTTGGTGGCTCTTGATTAATCAGCATCACCACCCATGACGGGCAGCCCCTGATGCTCCCACACCCCTTCCTCTTGCACGGAGAATGTGTTAATCCTGAGATTCTCGAGGGGGAAAAGACCAGTTCCACAATTTTGAGCCTACTTTGAAGCCAGCTTTCATTAAATATTGGCCAGGATGATGGACTCTGGCCAGGACTACTCCTGGGTTCCCAGGATATGGCCACGGGTCACGTTTTCACAGAGGCTTAAAAAGGCAAACCCACAGGGCTGTCATAGCCCCCATCAGGCCCAGTCAAGGATGGGCGTATATTCTGACCTATTTCCTGCCCGAGCACCTCCCACCCACGTGTGATCAAGCACTTCAGGTGGAGATAGGTCAATCAAACCTAGGACAAACAGGAACGTATTATTAGCTGTCATAACTGCAAACAGAACTCTTCGAGGTATATTCTTCCTGTTTTGGTCTCCCATTAACTTTCGAGGTGTATTGTTCTGGTTTCTGTTTTGGTCTCACAGATGCTGGTGAGGATCAAGATATTAGAAAGCCTGCACACACGCACACACGCACACACACACACACACACACACACACACACACACACACACACTGACCCCGACAGCAGATCCATCTGGTCAGGGGAGTCCTATCTGGGAAAGTTTGACACTGCTCTCTTTATATTTTTAGATTCTAAAACCTGTGGCCAGAATATGTATCCTTCTGCTTTTTTTTTTTTTTTTTTTTCGACATTATACCTCACAGAAAACACAAATGTTGCTGTTTAAGGGAGAGTGGCCTGGACTGTGAAGAGATTTAATCCTGGACCCTGTGGCCACATGCACGGCACTTGAGCTGAGTTCCCTGTGTCAGTGTACTAATTCCACTAAACATTTATTTATTTGTGGGTGCAGGTGTGGCAGCGCACTCATGAAGAGGTGCCTTGGAGCATGTGTGAAGTTCAGAAGACAACTTTCTGGAGTTCTCTCCTGCTACCATGTGGGGTCCAGGAACTGAACGTGGGTCCTTGGGTTTGGCAGCAGATGTCTCTACCGGTAGAGCCGTGTCACCAGCCCTAACTCCTGCCTCTAATATTCTTTCCAAAACACCGGTGCTGGGGAAGACCTGCGTTGCCGAGCTTGGGGAGCAGTGAGGGAGCAGTGCCGCATTGCTGGCCTTCTGCATTAAATGCAGTCCAGAGAAACCATTTCTACCCAACCCCAGAACAAGTTGTTCCTCCAAAAGGAGCACAGGAAACTGGTTCGCTCATCTTAATTACTGTTTAAAATCTAAATTGCTGCTCCAATAAACTGGACATCAATGAATGTACTCAACTTGTGTTTCAGCCCAGGGCAGATGGCTAATTCTGCTGCTGAGCTGAGCTGAAACCCAGAGATGAAAGGCTGGAGCCAAGAGCCTGACACTCTGAGGGGGAATGGAAGCCATATTTCCATCTCAGATGATAGATGCTGTTCTGACCCCATGGCGCTGATTGCGAGCCTTTTTGAGTACAAAACACTTCCTTTGTTCTGCCTTCCTGGCAACTGTCTAATCATGTTCTATTCATAGAAATTAGAGCAGAATCTTCTTGTTTCTCACATATCGAATAAGATAATGCACAGGGAAGTCAAGTTCTGGGAACAAATAATTGAATTGTAAGCCTCCCACAGGCTGTGAGATCATGAGGCCTGTTGGAGGCTAGGTGTGTGGGCAGAGGGCCGTCAACCTGCCACATCTCCAAATAATTTTGTCCTCGACCCACAGCCTGGACATCAATAAAATGCTAGGCTAATTTTAAGAGCTTAATGGAAAGACGTTGACATTCATCAAGTATCTTTCACATGCATTATTTTATCGGAGCCCTACTGTGGCCCTGTAATGGATGACGTTCCATTAACTTCACTTTATGGACGGGGCACTGAGGCAGGGAGGAGAGACAATTACCACTGCATGTCCAGCCGGGAAGGTGCTGGGTCCTTTCTCTTGCACAGCTTTTTTTCTGCTTTTCAAAACAATCCAGCTGCCACGGTACTACCGTCCTCCTGGCTCCCTATACAGCTGACCATGGTCAAGTATGCTAAAGCCACCGTGTGTAAACATCCCGAGCTCTTGAGGCTGTAGCATCGGCTGAAGGCCAGGCAAGGTGCACTGTAGTCATTATGCAGGAAGAATGGCTCAGCCTCACACCTCTGGTCTTTCTTCATCCTTGAGGGCTCTAGGTACCGCCAAAGCCTGGCTAGAATGGGGTAGACACAGATATAAACTTTTTGTTTTGTTTTTCAAGAAGGCAGATTTTTTTTTAATTTAAAAAAATTTAAAAAAAATAAGTAAATGGCTGGGGTTGTATCTCAGAGGAGTGGAGGATGTATTTGATCAGCGTACATTATATGAAATTCTCCAAGAACTAATAAAACTGTTTTTTTAAAAATAGGAGGCTGGGGAGAGGGCTCAGGGGGAAGAGCACTCCTGTTCAAGCGTGAGGACCCGAGTTCAGATCTCCAATACGTAGGCAAAAGTGAGTGCAGTCTGTGTGTCTGGTATCCCAGGGCTGGGGTCGTGAGAGAAGAAGTGGATGGGGGAGGTATGTAGGCAGATCCTGGAAGCTTGGTCAGCCAAATACAGCCGAAATGTCAAGCTTCAGCTAGATTCGACCAGAGACTCCAGACAGAGAGTGGTGGAGGATTTCTGGCCTTCATATATGCACACAGGGGCAAATGGACCTGTGAGCACACATATGTGTACACACATAAGAAATTTTTAAAAAATTAAAACAGTGCATATTTGATGTAAGGTTAAAAAGCCAACTTGGTGCAAAGAAATGCAAAACAATTAGAAGTATGATGTCGAGCATGTAATATGTGTTCAAATGTTAGTACGTGACCGTTGGTCTGCAGATCAACACTCCTCCTGGGCTTGGGGGTTGGGGTGTATTGGTTTTAATTGTTTTTTTTTAATTTATTTTATTCTTTCATTAGGTATCCCAGGAGTTTATAGTCCAACCTCATTTTCAACCCACAGCTCAGAGTTCCAGTGCCAACCCAGATCCCTAACCTCCAGCTCGTGTGTCCTGCCTCTCCCATCTTGGGCACACACTGGAGTAGACATCTCAGAACGCCATTCTGTTACGGGTGAGATACGGTACTGGTGTCAATGGGCTGTCCCACATTCAGTTGACATCTGCATTATTGATTTCCTAGGGCTGTGACAAGGTAACGCCAAGTGAGTAGATTAAATAGCAGAAATGTCCTGTCTCGCAGTCCTGGAAGAGAGAAAGCCGAGAGAAATGTGCTGGCGGGATCATTTCCTCAAAGGCTGTGAAAGAAAACCTGTGCCCTGTCATTCTCCCTGCCTTTGATGCTCCCTGGCTTCTGCTGCCTTGGCCAAATCTGCTTCATCTCCACAGTCTCCTTATACCAGTGTGTGCTGGCTAGTCTTACGTCAGCTTGGCACCCAAACTAGAAGCAAGCAGGGTATCTTAATGGAGAAGATGCCTCTGTAACATCTGGCTGTAGGTATTTTCTCAATTATTTATTGATGGGGAGGATCCAGCCCATTGTAGGTGGTGCCAATCCCTGGGCTGGTGATCCTATGTTCTATAAGAAAACAGGCTGAGCAGGCCATAGGGAAGCAAGCCAGTCAGCAGCACCCTTCCATGGCCTCTGCATTAGTTCCTGCCTCCAGACTTCTGACCTATTTGAGTTCCTGTCACGACTTCCTTCGACGAAGAACAGCAATATGGAAGCGTAAACTAAATAAACTCAATCCTCCTCAACTTGCTTTTTGGTCATTGTGTTTTGTCACAGCAATAGAAGCCCTAACTAAAGCACACTGTCGGCATTCTTTCACGAGGTTGTCTCTCATAGTGGGTTAGGGCGTTCACCATGCTTTCACACCACCTCATCGGACACAATTACTTGAAGGTAGTTCCAAATAGAGGTCATATTCCGAGGTCCTGGGGAGGCAAAACTTCAACATGTATGCTTGTGTGGATGGGGGCGGAAAATCCCATTGAATCCACCAAAAGATCTGGAGAAGTAAATCATGTCTTTACTGATTGGGAAGTGGGCGTGTCACTTACAAATAACCGATGAGACCACAGAAATTTTTCCAAAACATCTTAGGAAATAATCGCATGCAATGGTTCTATTTCCGGGAGAGTGGACCTTCTGGAGCACTTGGGGTTCGAACGGCAACACAAACATTTTATATCGGTGGATGTGTGATTCAACCCAGGCAGACTTCATCAGCGGCTCTCAGGTTGCTAAAGACAAAGTCAGGAAAGCAGGCTTCTGCCTCACAGCTCTGCCAAGCCTGGGTATGACATGTGGAACTACTGCAGCCGTCATGCCACCCTGAGGCTAGCTAGCACACAGGCGCACGTGGGAGAGAGAAACTTCGCAGAGCAGCCACACCCTGATGGACCCATCTCTTTTGCATCCTCCATGTAGTTCTCAGCAAAGGAAGCGATAACCATTTCCTGTCTCTTAAGCCAGTTTCTGTGAACCTGCTCTGCCATCTACTTCCCAAAGCATTCTAACTGACACTAATTTAAAAGGCACTGCAGGGTAGAGGGATTAGAAATAATGTTCAGAATTTCCTCAGCCCATCAGCTTTGAAACGATACAATCGTGATGATAGATGTATTTAGGGAAAATTACTCCACTTCAGGTTTGACACATAAGACCAATTAATGTACAAATTCTTTGAGCTGAAAACAAAAATTCTTTTGTTCTCAAATTTGAGAGTGCCTCGGAATCAGCTAGAGAGTGTATTAAAGCAGCTAACTGAGCTTGCCTGACTTCAGCCTGAAGGGGCCACACTCTCAGAACTGCTGGTCTCGTAAGACAAACCTCTGTCTGAAGCAGCTGACTAGATGTGATCTTTTCCCATGCAGGGGACCCTGTAGCCAGAACTGTCATTGATGGAGTTTTCCTGTCATTCGCTTCTCACAAGGAACCTCTGAAGTGGGTTCGTCAACCACAATATGGAGGTGGAGAAACCAAGGCACACAGAAGGCCTACAGAATATGCTTATCAGAGACAAAAAAAAAAAAAAAAAAAAAAATACTGCTCCAAGCTGGAGGAGGACCCAGCAAGATGATTTGGGAAGTGCTGGATATTACAGCTTTAAGCTAAAGGGTGACTGTGGCTGAAATGAGTCACCCTTTGCCAGAAGAGATGAGTGCCTTATCACTGTGGACACTGCCCAGGCCCCTGTTTTGAAGGACTAATCTTGGAGGCTGAGGCTGCAGGGTTGAGCTTGGTGCTCTGTCATCTCCTCACCTCTGGCAGACGCTGCCAGCCAGTGGAGGCCAAGGGACAGCAAGGAGAGCTGTGTAGCCAACTGTGCCCTGCATCTTAGCCATATCCTTCCACACGATGTGCACTGGTTGCCGGCCTTTGCATCATAGAAACCAGACAGTATTTCCCTGGGGTGGATGAACAATGAACATGGAAGAGAATCCAGAAGGCAGGTTCTGTCCGCTCAGGTCAGGTGAACTGTAGGACCAGCAGCTGAGTCCAGGATGAGACATGTCTCTTATCTTGAGGAACACAGTTGCACCCCTCTCTACAGAATCAGGCAGCCCAAGGAGGCAGTCGAAGTTAGATTTCGTTTCTGTTGTCTTAGAATCTAAGCTTATAAATGTCAGGGGACATTTTTTTTTTTTTTTTTGAAAACCAGAAATTGAGGAAGATTGAAAAGATCCATGTGATTGCTCATGACTGAAGACTGATGTATGTAAGAGAGTGGAGCAGGCGTCCCCGGGAAATGGTGCCCCTCTGAAAAGGCCCAGTGCCCAGACACATGCCACATTGCCCAACAATGCTTTTCTGGACCATGCTGACTTCATCCTTCTGCTGGTGAGCTCCATGCCACGTCCACCTTTCCATTCAAGGCTGACCACAGCCCAGGCTCCTGGCCTTGGACCTGGGATTTGTCGATTCTGTTTCTTTATTCCCAGGTAGAATCCTGGAATGAACCTGCTGAAACTGGTTCCTATTTCAATCACTGGCACGTACTCTTTAAAACAAACCGGGGCTGGAGAGGTGGCTCAGTGGTTGAGAGCACTCGATGTTTCTGCAAAGGACTTGGGTTCAATTCTCAGCATCCACAGGGCAGCTCACAACAGCCTGTAACTCCAGTTACAGGGGATCTGGTGCCCTTTCCTGGCCTCTGCGGGCCCCATGCATGTGATGTGTAGACATACACGCAGGCAAACACTGATACACATATAAGCAGCATTTTTAAAATAGGGGGTAAAATCATACATAGTCAGGAGAGGTGGCTCAGTAGTTAAGAGCACTATCTGCTCATCCCGAGGACCCGGATTCTGTTGCCAGCAGCATGGTGGCTCACAACCTTCTGTAACTCCAGTTCCAGGGTATCTCACATCCTCGTCTGCAGGCCAAACACCCATATACATAATATACCTGCCTCCCGTGTGTGTGTGTGTGTGTGTGTGTGTGTGTGTGTGTGTAGGTATGTGGATGTGCATGTGCCACAGATGTGCCACAGATGTGCATGTGTGGAGATTAGAGGACAACTTTGAAGAGTTTGTTCTTCCCTTCCAGAATGTGACTCTTGTGGATTGAATGAAGACCATCAGCCGACGAGCCGTCTCACGGGCTCGCCACAGTCTTAATCTTACAGCTGATTACAGGCACAAGGTCAAGAGGACATGAGTACCTCAGCATGCAGAAGTAAGATCCACTGAACGTTAGTGCTGGCAAGAAGTCTGCTGGGAGACACATCAGTCACTAAACTGAGACTGGGAGCCGGGGAAAGACCTACCAACAGGAGTCAAGCAGGAGAAGCCAATGGGGAGAGAATTAGCCTTTGCTGATGGCCACTTCTGCCCTGGGCGTGAGAAACTATCCCAGCGTGTAACCTCTCACTCTCATACAAGGCACAGAGGACCTTCCCCACAGCACACAGCTCTTTTCTAGCAGATTCGGGATGAGAGGCCAGGAAAGCGCACAGACCCCCTGTAACTGGAGTTGCAGACTGTTGTGAGCTGCCGTGTGGATGCTGAGAATTGAACCCAAGTCCTTTGCATCATCCCCGGAGGATGAGTCGCCTCAAAGTCCATAGCTCCTTTTCTGATGCCTCCCCAGCTCCAGAGGGCCACACAATCCTCCTAAACAGTTGTTGCCCCGTGAAATCTCTACAAGCCAGGCCACCTCCTAGAGCCTCCCCACCCTCACCCCATCCTCTCAGGAGATGTCTACTGAAGTTGCTCGATTTTGGCATGTCCGTGATTCCATAAGACGTGGACCGGGGTGTCGGCTTTCTTCCGTTGGCTGCAATGTTCCCGAGGACCGTTCATGTTTCTCTTGCTCACCCCCTGTTCCACTGAAGTGCAGCTATGCATCCGTCCAGCATACCGGAGTGTGCTCATTTACTTACCAGCTGATGGGCACTGAGACCACTCCAAGCTTTCAGCTTATTATGAACAGAGCTGCTACGAACATTCACACACAAGTCTCCCCGGGAAGCTATGTTTTCACTTCTCATGAGTAAACACTTAGAAACGAAATCTCTTTGTGCCTGTGGGAAGCGTGTGCCTTACTTCCAAAAGAAACTGCCCAACTGTTCTCCAAAGTTGCTACAGCATGGTCCGGTGCTTTGTATTTGATTGTGAATTATTCTTGCTCCCTGAGGTCCACTTGCTGCCTTTCACGTAACCCCAGCCATGCTGTGTAATCTTGCCTCCAGAGTTATCGCTGATAGGCTAAATAAAAGGCCTACACCTGGGCAAGGCAAAGGGAGGTAGGCGTGGCCAAGGCTCCAGGGCTTGGAGGACAGAAGGATCACGGGAAGAGAGGGGTATGAGAGGAGAGGAAAGAAGGAAGGGAGGCTGCCATGAGTTAGTGTGGAGAGGCGCGCATGGTGGGGAGGAGCCTGCTCTGAGGATCCGCATGGCTGGTGAAAAGCAGCCCAGACGGAAGACACATGCAAGTATTTGTATTATTTCCGGTGGGAAGTAGCCCAGTTAGGAATGATCAGAGCAACTGGCATGGGATGCGGGACTGGGAGATAACCAGGTAGTTTAGGGCGTTAATATCTGCCCAGCTCCACGTGAAATAAGGCCTATTAAAATCTGACAGGTGCCTGTGTCTTTTATTGATTGAGAGCGGGTTAAATTGTAGCCACCGTAACAATTATATAGATCAATAGTAAATGTTAACCATTTTCCACAACACGAAGCAGCCTTCCTATTTTGCGAGCCTACCCATGCTAGGTGAAGTCCTGGTTGCTCTGCGCTCTTGCCAACAAATGGGACTGTTATAGTCATGTAGTCACTTCAGTCATGTAGGGATGTGTGTTAGCTGAAAACATTCAACTAACGCTGCAGAGCATCCTTCCGTGCGTTTGTTTGCCATCTGCCTCTTCTTTAGTGAGGGGCACGTTCAAATAGTTTATCCATATTTTTAGTCGCATTGCTTGCTTGCCTCCTTATTCTTTCATTTATTATAGATGCACCTTTTTTTTTCCCCTCTCGGACAAGGTTTTACAAGGTTTTTGTGACAAGTCTAAAAGTGCCTGGTCGTTTGCCCAATGATTCTCTAGAAGACACTGTCTTCTGATGAAGTGCAGCTTCACCAGTCTTTCAAATTCATGTCTTCTGTATCCTTCAGGATGCTGAGCCCAGTGAAAGAATGCTAACCTTTCTCCTATGTTTTCTTTGTAGTTTTGTGGTTGGATCTTAACATTTATGTCTATAAACTATTTGATTTTTAAGTGGTATACTATAAGGGTCATTTTGCATCA